GACTTTTTCTGTTTTCCCACATAGCATCCTCTGCACTTCACCGCTTCTCTTTTACTCATATTTGCAAATCTCTGGACAGGGAGGGATGAAACTCGATCATGTTTACTGAGATCAGCAGCAAACCTTTCAGATTATAAGTCATAAATACGTGAAAATGATGCAGCTCTGTAATGTGTTTTACAGACTCATGGATTGCAGGTAATTGACGGCGGGAATGACGGTCAAGTTAGAGATTATCTTTTCACTCTGTCTTTTCACACACTCTATCAGCTCAGCACAGCAGCTGTGCCATCAGCTGCAAAGCCAACAAACTGTACATGTAATTTCAGAGATGCCCTTCATAACTGAAGGATGTGCCAGACAGCAGCTGTAGTAGATAGCTGCAATTTCGCAAGTTGAAAGAAGCTGCACATCTCAGCCCTGTGGGGAACTGTTCACTGATCACAAGTTCTGAAAGTGAAAGTTATTTGGGCTGTAGAGAGATTTGAGATGCAGTGCTAAAGCTCAGAGAGGGGATGAAGTTTAATATTTTTACATTTTTAACTTGGGTACACAAGTTTGAATTTATTTGGGGTTTTATCAGATCCACTTAAGGTAAAAGGTATTAATACAAGCTTAAAGTGTAACACCACTTGAAAACGGGCAAAAAATCATATTTTGCATGTTTGGATCTTAACAATGTTCCAAGTGGAGCTTCAACATGCAACAAGAAAAAGTGGGACTGAGACAAAACATTTTTCTGAGCATACAATTGTTTGAAAACATTGCTTAAGCTGAAACAGGCCGTTTTACAGCAGATGAAAAGTTTAGGACCACACCTCCAAAAAAAACTGTAAACCCCCCAAAACATAAATGAAAGTTCCAAACATGAACTCAGTAGTGAGTAGCTCCACCATTATTGTTTTTGATCACTTCAAAAAATTGTTGTGGCATGCTTGATGCAAGCCTTTCCATGAGGTGACTGGGAACATTTCTCCAAGTGATGAAGATGTCCACACGAAGGGCATCTACTGTCTGGAACTGTTGTCAATTTTCGTAAACTTCCCTTGCCTTCCATCCCGAAAGGTTCTCATTTGGATTTAGATCACGGGAAGAAGTGCCTTGTCCTGCGGGCATTGTGCACTGTAGCATTGTCTTGTTGAAAAACCCAGTCATTACCACACAAACAAGGGCCCATGAGGGATGCTCTCTGCAACATCTGGACATAGCCAGCAGCCGTTTGACTTCCTTCCACTGAAGGAAAAAGCACCCCATTATGGTGCCTCCTCCACTGTGGCGCATAGAAAACATTCTCATCAGAGAATAAAACTTTCTCCCACCTTTCATTGTCCCATGTTTGGTGCGCTCTTACAAAGTCCAAACGGTCAGTTCTGTGGTGTTCAAAGAGACGAGGTCTTTGAAGACTTTTTTTTTTATGCCCTTCAGTCTCAGATGCCGTCTGATTGTTATGGGGCTGCAGTTGGCACCAGTAATGGCCTTAATTTGGGTCGAGGATCGTCCAGTGTCTTGACGGAGGGCCAGTTGAAACCTCTGGCTCAGTGCTGGTGAAACTTTTTGAGGTCTTCCACTTGACTTTTTTGTTCCATAACCCTCAGGATCATTTAAGAAATTCCAAATGACTGTCTTACTTCATTCCACATCCAGCAGCGATGGTGCACTGCGAGAGACCCTGCTTATGCAGTTCAACAACCCAATCATGTTCAAAAAGGGAACGTTTTTTTTGCCTT